GTCTTGCTCGGGTGGTGTCTCCTCATCTTCCTGCAGCCTCCCCCCTTGAACTTCAATCCCAACAAGGCACTGAAATGCATACTTTAAGTACATGAGTCGTTTCTAGTGTGGGGCCTTTGAGGCTTTAAAGTTAAACACATGCCCTTCACTGTTTCCCTGGCACTCCTGCTACCAAAAAGGACAATGGGATCTGGGTACCTCTTTAAGGAACCTTGTTGCAAATCCCAAGATTAATTTTTAAAATTTTGCCAATACTGTTAGCTGTCAAAAATGGTTTTAATTTTTTTTTTTTTAAGTGGGGAGAGAAGAGAGAGCAAGAGACCATTGGGATTCCACAGCTTCAGTAACTTTCGTCATCTGTGTTTGACAGACACACACAGCAAACCCACCCTACAATTGTTTGCAGAGAGGGATGCTAACAATCTTCTTTAGATTAGCTACAAGCCCATAATTACAGCCATCAGACAAACAGGAAAAAAAATACCTAAGTTTAGACTGGAGAGGTAATACTCCTCCCTCAAAATCACAGCCTAAAGAGGTTGTTAGATGTTAGTGTTTCTAAGAAGAGGGGCTGAGGAAGACTGCTTGGGACAGGTCCACATGCCTCACTTAAACCGGGGAGGCCTACATGTCTGCTTGGTGATGAGAAAGAGCCTCAGAACAGCCACAGAAAAACAAGGACCATTTGAATGGTCCTTAAGCTGCTTTGCTGCAAGACTGCTTAGCGTACGTTGCTGCCAAAGCAAAGAGTGGTTTTCAAATAAATACTTTCATTGACAGCACTTACCGAATTGGATTAGGAGGGGGAGGAGGGAGTGGAGGTGGTGGTGGCGGGGGTGGCACTGGATTTTCTGACTGGTGTACTCGTTTCTGGAGTTCATCAACTGCATGAGAACAAGAGAAAACCAGAATGATTCTCAGGGAAAAAGAATGGGCGTTCCCCGTCCACTCGCATGGGATTTGAAACTACAAAAATCACAAATAAAAATTATGCTTGCAAAACACAAACACAATAAAGCCACAAACTAATTCAAAAGCAAATGACAGGGCTTCCCACTGCCTGATGTGTTACCAACCCGGATTAGTGTCATTTCTTACCATCCTCTGCACCAGGAACAGTGATCAAGTTGCAATTACTTTCCATTAAGCCAACAATTTACAATCAAGACAGCTTGTGAAGATAAAATGACTCCCTCCATAATATTAAACTCTTCGTATAAAACAATAAAAGCGCTGCAAAGGAACCGGAATGGCTGCTGCACTGCCTAGTAGCAGTCTTGAAGCCTAGTCCATATAAAAACAACCACTTATATATTTCAGTTTCTAGTTTTGTCCTCCAGTCCCTTCAACAATGTTTGTGGGTTTTACAATCACATTAACACACTACCCAAACAAACAAAAATCATTCTCTCCTGTCTCACTTGTTGCTGTGTGGAGCAGGCTGCACAAACAATAAGGAGGCTACTTCATTAAATAGGAGAACTGGGAATGAAACATGCACAAAATGCTGCCGGTTGCAATTAATGGCAGGAGGGATGGGGGGGGAAATAAAAATATTGTCCCCTAATCTCATTTAGTTACAATTGATCTTAGCAGCTCTTCATAAGTATAGGGGGAATTTCACATGCAAGCATGAACTGGAATTTCTAAAATTCAATCCCTGATTCCCATTATTTTTCAATTAATAGATGAATGACATTTTAAACTGTCCGAATTGACTTTATACAATCCTGATATTGATGCTGTACCTTCTAAAAATAAAATAGACAAGGAGGAAAGGAATAGCATGAATGCATGTCACAATCAACTTTGTAGCTTGATGTAAATGAGCAATGTAAGGTTTAAATGACTTCTTTCTAGGTATTTGTAAAGAATCTACTATTTTACAAAACAGCACGCAGATTTTTCTTCCATAACAATTAAGCATAATATTAAAAAACTAATCAACGTTCTCAAATGTGGGAAAGACTTTTCAGCTGACTTTTATGGGATAATTTTTGTGCTTAGTTATAAGCATGGCCTTGAGCCCTCAATTAAAGAAAGCACTGTTGCTATTCAGGAAATGCTAAGCATGAACAGGGCTGGACATGAACAGGTCATGTTTTTTGGTGCTTCCCTAAACTGAGGCCTGAGCACCTGGCTGAGCACATAAGCATGTGCTTAGGTGAGCCAAGGCTGAACACAGGGACTTTTGTCAATGCCTCCCCAACCATAACCACTATGGCCCTACCAGTGTTGTTATGTTACTAACACATGGGTCACATTTTCAAAGCTTTTGATACAAGATGAATGCATAAGTCTTGCAGAGAATAGTGGGATTTCCAAGTACATCTCCTATGGTTTTCACATTTAGCTGCATGTGAAATGAATTATAGCATGGCAGAGCAGACTCGATCAATTGAGTCTGCTGGAGTGTGGCAATTACCACCTCCCACATCTTCAAAATGGCAGCCTAGAAATATATAAGTGGTGTGCATCAGGAACGGGGAGAACGTCTGTTCACCAGGGCACCACAAGGGAAGACAAGGTCTAACGGTTACAAGCTGCTGAAAGATCATTTTAGACTGAATGCAAATAAAAACTTCTTTACCATCAGTCTCCAGTGTCTGCAAGAGTCCCCCCAGAAGTGGTGCAAGCACCTATTCTGGATACCCTTAAGACATGCTTGAATGCTTACCTTACTGGGGTGATCTGACCCCAGCTGACTTCCTGCCCCTTGTGCGGTGGGCTGGACCCGATGATTTTGCGAGGTCCCTTCCAGACCTAATGTCTATGAAATGTATGAAAATGGCAGCAAGGGTATTTGAACTAAAGCTTGTTCGACAGGCTTTAGTTTGAGCACCCTTGCTGCCATTTTGAAGCACGGGGATGTTGATGCACCAGATTTTGTGGCACTTTAATTAATTAGAGTGGCTCTTGAAGCTGCTTTAATTAAAGCCCCCCCGCCCAAAGCACAAGTAAAAGTGCCCAAGAAGACCTGCTGGTGCAAGCCTGGGATCAGCTGTTGATTCCCTACTCTCAAAGTCATGGTATAAACTGGGAGAAACCTTAGGCAGGCATTCAGCTCTCCCAGCACCTTTGGACCTTCATTTAGATCTTCTGTGAGGGTTGGAGCAAAAGGATCGGGAAGCTGGAGACCTGACTCATAAAAACAGTCAAAACCAGTTAAATATTGAGGCTTGCCTGAGCTGTTATCCAGAGGGAAGGTAAGTCTACAGTGATATGAGAGCTGTAAAAATGAAAGATGAGGAAGAATTATTTAGTCTGGTACCTGATCAAACTAAAAAAGAAGAATGTAGGAGGACTATCAGGAAAGCATTTTGGAAACAATGTTACCCAGGACTTATAAAATTAAATTGAACAAAAAAGCATCTAGAAAAAGATGTTCTAGGGAACTGCCTCTATCAGCTTATGCCGTGCTCATCATCGTGGTTTATGATCATCTAACAATCCTGCACTGACCCAAGGATGGACTAGACGACCTAATCGAATCCTTCCAGCTCTAATTTCCATGAGTCTGCAATTCATTTGATGCACGCATCCATGCAATATTGGAAAACTATTTTTTTTTTAGAAGCTCTCTTACAACCACCATGGCCTGCTTCTCTTCTGTCATTTTCCATCTACATATTTCAGTCACCATAGGGTAGTTAAACAGTAGCTTGCCTGCTGCTAACTAGGTTTTTAATTTATTATAAGGTTGCAATTTTAAATAAAGAGAGTTAAATAAGTTTGTAGCATCTAATGCACAGGATGTTGTAAAGCTGGCCAGGTACCATTCTGATAAATAAAACTTTGGTAACAACTAAATTGCAATAGTTGCTCCACACTGTATATACACAAGTAATTTTCATGAGTGTTTTCAATGCCTTATGTTTAGTTCTTGACAAACTGGACGAACAATAGCCAGAAAGACTGACACGTTTTTATCAATCAGAGAGTAACAGGCAGATGTTTAACATGATGCATAGGGAATTAGACACAACTCCCATGGATTTTAGCCATTAAAGTCAACAAGAGTTGCGTGCATGATTCCCTGTGCAGAGTGCTGGATGCAGTATTTACATCTTAAATGTCAGAAGACCTTATAATGCCAGGGAGAAACCCCCCCACCCCATGACAGCAGGATTTTTCCCCCCTCACAACTCCATCTAAATCATTCCCTCAAATTCACTGACAAACATTGGCACAAGATTACAAAATGCTTGTGTGGACTCTTGAGTAGCTTGATAATTTCCACAGGTGGAAACACGAGAAGCCTTTCCATCATCTGCGCAGTGTGGGTACTACAGCTTGATAATCAAGCCCACATATCACATGCAATATCTTTGTGAAAGAATTAGCAGAGCTGTCACGTTCTATTTATGTCTTTGAATCTATCAAAGGTAGAGGTCGTAGCTGAACTTGAACGATTGCTTTTTCACGTGTGAACATTGCATTGAATCTCGACTTATTTTAGATTTATCTACGCATTGCCATTGTATACATCACAAAAGTATTACAAGGTTTTTTCTTTCAAACATGCTAGATATTACTTTTCGAAGACTGAGCTGAGCCACTGAACTTTGTACTGTGAAGCACAAGTTAGGATCTCAGTAATAGTTATGCAACTGCTGTTTCCAGTTGGGTCTCAAATGTATCCTGTGTAATTCTATTAGGTCTGCACCAGTTACACTTGAACTGATTTCACTTCTAAACTTAATTCAGTTGCATGATTTTACCTGAATGCTTTAGGTCCTTAGCTTTTTCTTCAGAGGTCTGACACTTTAGTTCCAATTCTTTTTTATCGTCTTCCAGAAGTTCTAGCTGTTGTTTAAGACGACTGATCTCCTTATGTAATGCTTCATTTTCTAGCTGCTCTTCTAATTCTTTGACCTGAAATTCAGAGACATTGAGACATTCTTACAATGAAAAGGAATTTTTTTTTGTCTTTTGCCTTTGTGAACAGCCCAGCAAACACTGTAGGTCTTCAGAATAGAAGATTAGGGGGAACACAGTAAACTGCAATCATGTACATGAGGAGATATTAAGTGAACAATTTTGAATAAGAGTCACAAAGATCTCACCATTAATTTTCTAATCTAATCCTGATTTGATTTTACAAACATCTCCAGCCCTGAAGTGTAACTGCTAAGATTTTCTTTTCTTCATAGGAATTTAACCACCTTTTTAGAAAAAGAGTTTCTTAATGTTTCTTCATTTTGAAGCAATAAAACATTAATGCACTTTTTTTTTTCTAAATGATCACTTCTGTTTAAAGGTTATTATTTAAGCTCACTTTCCACAACTCATGCAGCTGCCATTGGGTGAATTACAGAACCACATCAGCTTAAGTGGCAGTATTCAGGTATGCTGAAATAATCACTTCCATTCCCATTAAATATATACAGTCTGGTCTAGTTTACAAAATCAGAGCTTTTCTGCAAGCTGGAAATTACACCGAACATATATTTTTAAATGAATAAAATCAGTGAGTGCAGAGTACAGATTTTGCTGCACCTGTGAAAGCAGAGAAAGGGCGTATTGCCTGACAGCATACAAGCACCGACAAGCGAGTTGCAGGGGAAGCTTCCCAGTGGGTGGCAACTGACCCCAATGGAACGAAGACATCAGCCACCCATTGAGAATCTGCCTCAAAATCTTGTTTCAAAGATACTCAAATATTAAGGAAATGACACATTTAACATCTATTGGGTTTTCTATAGCATCCATATCCAGGGCATTTTCCAGTTTCTATCATTTTCAACTGTAGCATTTACATTTCCTTCTACTGCTTGCATTCCTCTATGCATCTTTGAAGCCAGGATCCAACTTGTTAATGCAAGGACCAACTTGCCCATTTTGTTGTTAATCTTTCCTGAAAGCCAATCTAGGTCAACAAGGTGCCACCACCTTTGCCTTCCGTTAATTAAAAACAACAACAATCAAAGTCATAGGTCTTAAGCCATATTTTTCACCCACATTAGCGATTTAGTGGCTAGTCCACATAAGAAATTTTGATCCTCTTATCCAGCAAGTAGGATCATTCTTGCATCCCCCACAGTAAAGGATCTTGTTCTTAAGGCTTGATTCAGGAGGGGGCATGATTAAATTTGTGCCTACTCAGGACTTAACTATAAGCATGTGCTCAAGGGAAGCATGCGTTTCACAACTGTCCCCTCAGTATGGATACTTTCCTGAATCAGGGCCTTAATACTGGAGTTTTTTTGTTCCAATCCTACCACTGAAAGTGTTCGTGACATTCTCTTCAGCTTTTAAAGTTCTCTGAGATGGAGATTAGATCTTTGCACAAGAGTAGTGATTTTTAACTTATGGTCCACAGACCCCTAGGTGGCTGTAAAGGTGGCAGCCCTACTTGGCAGGGAAGCACTGCCAGTGCTGCTGCTGCTGCTCCAGCTCCACCCAGGGCCAAAGGCCACCGAAGTGCCAGCAACAGGCAGCCCAGAGCCCCAACAGTGCCAGCAACAGGCAGCCCTGCTTCATCCTGCCACCACTGCTGCTTCATGTGGGACTCAGTGATGCTGCAGCCCCATGGTCCCTCTGCTCACCTGACTATACCAATCTACAAACCAGGACAGGCACGTGTGAGTGTGTGCATGCGAGACATGGAGAGAGAATGTTTGCTATACTAACAATAGATTTTCAAAGGGGTTCATGTCCCCATTCAAAATGTTTAAGGGTCCATGAATGATAAAAAAGGTTGAAAATCACTGCGCTAGGGTAGGGCTGAGTCCAGTTAATAAACAGGCCTTTCTATAAGTCATTAAGTGAGAAAAGCTATTTAAAAAATCATACAGTAGGTAAAACATTCTTGTATTACCTTTTTTTGGTATTGCAGCCTCTCTTCTTCTAGTGTTTGGGTCAGCTGTGCGTTTTCATCCAAAGCTTTCAAAAGCTGTTGATCAGGAGCAGCATTTTGCAGAAGCAGCTGACTCTGTCTTTTCAACTTGTTTTGTTCAATAAACATCTGCCCAAAACAAAAACCCAAAGAGCTTAATAATGGCTAAGCGAAGTTTCCTGCCCTAATCAGAACCAAATAAACAGTAAGCAAAGACGCACTGAATTACTAGCTGGAAACTGGGGGAGGAGAAAAAGGCCAGGTACAGACATTCAGTTTCTACTGACTCTCCATTCTTCTGGTAGAAATCAAAAACATACAATAATTCAAGCTTTTTCTCCTGGAGCAAAAATGGCCACTCTGGGAGAAAAGTAACCTGGCAACAACCAGGGTTAAATCACTCTTGGGAGAGTTTCTCCCAGAAGACTGAATGTCTATACACTTCCCCTGGCTAAACTCTTGGGTACTAGAAGGAGAGGAGCCAAGGGAAAGACTCCCATGATTTTTTAAGACCAGAATCACTCCAGTCTGGAGAATGCATGGGGAACATCTGCTCCCCGCATCCTGTAGACCAGGAGGTGAGAGGAGCAGCAGCCACTGTTCCCTGACCCTTCCCCAAACAGGGCAGTCCTTAGTTATGGGAAGAGGCAGATGGCGGTGCTTGGAAGCTTGGCCACAATGGAAAATGCCCCTGCCTCACTCTGCCCTGCTTTGGGTCAGCCTGTTGTACTACACAAATTGCAATTGCTAAAATCACAAGCAAGATCTTATGGCTGCGGAGTTCACCCGTGAAGCTCTTCCACTATGGGGCTAAAGAAAGGTCTGTACAGTACAGCTCCTGGGCCATTTTTCTACTGGAAGAAATTTCTTCTAGTAGAAGTGACTGTCTGCATACAAGGGTGTAGGGTGTAGCTGTGTTGATCTAAGGACATAGGCAGACATGGTTCTTTGGGTAAATCTGATCTCTTTTATTTAATATATTTTATTTAATTTTATTTTATACAGATATAATAAATAAATAATACAGTAATAAAAAGATATTTGATACTTTTTCTTTAATTTTATTTTATACAGGTAACTGTCTGTATACAAAGTTTTCAATAACTAAATTAGTAAAGTATCTCTTTGTTAAGAGAAGGTTGTCAGGTACAACTAAAATGATATGTGCGTTTGCAATACTCCAAAATCAAAATGAAAAGCAGCGCTGACCTTTGAAGAAGTTGAGGAAGTAGAATCCACTTCTCACCATCAGGGTAAACTTAGCCACCCAGCTGAGGGCCTAGACAACATGGCTCTGAAAAAGGTACTGTGGAGAAGTTTCTACCTTCTTCAAATTTCGAGGGCGAGGGTAGACTCTGACCTTCCCACCTCCTAAATAGTCCCTGACAGGAAATTCATTTACCTGAGGGGTGGGTGGGAGCGTGTGCTTTTGGCATTGCAGCCAATATTTATGTAATCAATAAATAAATAACCTTATATGTTCAACAGAGAAGACGAAGTCTGGTTGTGTAGTGTAGATGAGGCTCAGATGTGCTCCATTTACCTTTAAAAGGGTGTCTTCCACTTTTACTTTTGAACTCTTTACTATTTCTTTCCTTTTCCAGATAGTAATGCCTTCATTTTGGGGAGAGCAAGGAGGAAAGAAACAATCAGACAGGGATTGTTGCATCAAGACATTTAAAAGGACCGTCCGGATATCAAAAGCTTACTTAAAATACAAACTTAGCTCCGCCTGGCGTATTGGGAAGCTCCAGAAAGAAGACTGTTTCCTTGCAACAAAATTCTGCAGTTTACTTCCACTGAAGCTCGACAGTGCCCTTAGTATCAGGTTGTGCCCATAGTTCAATGGGGCAAGGGTGGAATTGGGTCACACAAAAAATATAGGACAAGGCCCAAAGAGGACCTAGACGTTGCAACAGAAGTGTCAGGTCACTAGGATACGAGATGTCTGGTGAACGTGTCAAATGGGCAGCATAGCTTTTGTTTTCCTGGTGGGAGAGGCACTATTTTTTTTTTGTGTTAATGGAAAAGACACTCCAAGTACAGTGTTTGTCCTCATATTGTTGAGAAACTGATTCACGGTGTAGCAAAAGCTGCATGATGTTTCAGAACCAAAATACAAGGAATGAAAAGTCCGATGACATTGTGTCATCCTCTTCATACTGTTCATTCACAAGCCCAAGTTACAAGTACAACATGCTGACAAAATCCTTTTCAACATATTATTGAACATTTGCATACTATTTTAAAAAAAGAAATGCAATCAGAGGTTGACTTGGGTTCTTTCGTCTGGATTTGTAACGAGCATCCATCTAGCACTATGGACAGACAAAACTTGGATGCACCTCAAGTCCTGTGTTATTACTTGGCTGGATCCATTTTCTAAGAAAGGGGACAACCTACTGACCTTGCTGAACTTTAACTGGCAATGCAGCCTGGATGACTCAGATGCGACCTGCGTGCAAAGCAAAGTGAATCGATGCGATCTTAATAAAGCCAATAAGGAACACTTCATTGGGTAGAGCTGGGCAGTAGGACAGTCGCTGAAGATGGAAAGGATCAGTGAAGAGGAAACTACAGATGCCGGCTCCAATGCTGCACTCGTTAAAAAAAAAAAAAAGGCCAGAACGGTTGCGTGAGGGCAGAAGTTATCACGTTGGGACTGAGGAAAACAACTGTGATGGCTTCCTTTTGGAGGCAGGGTAAAGATTTATCTTCAGTTATGGTTGTTCTGCTCCCGAGAAGGGGGCCAGGACTATGCAGTTTGGGTCAGCTTCACTCACAGCCTGGTCACCCTTATTCAGTACAAGCCCTCTTCCACTTCCTTGTGGAAAAGGGGAAGGAGGGGGAGACAGAGAAAGCACACAGAAAACAGAGCGGTTAATTGTGCAGAGCTTTCCCACAGAGAGCTCGCTACATGGAACTAATTGTCCCGCACGGCGCTTGAATACGGCAGTGATGGGTGTTTTCTGTAGAAAACACTAAACAGGGCAGATGGCTGTATTCCTGTCTAGGGCGGGCAATGCCACTCTGCATCTCCTTCTGCACCTTCACACATTGCCAGGGGTTATAACTGTCCTCCAAATATCTATAAAAACAGAATCTTTTGGTAATGAGAGAGCTGTGGTACAAATCATCCCACAGCAAAAAAGAAACTCAGAGTTAAGCTAACATAAAATCTATTGCTTGCATCGGACAGCAAGACGTACCGTTTTTTAAAATGCTCACCATGGATCTCACAGAGTAGATGCATGAACTCATAAAATCAGGATAGTTCAGAGTGGGTCAATTTCTGTACTGGTATAAAATTGTATCACGCTAGGCTCAAACAAAAATACAACTATCATCCAGTTATATTGGCTCAGCCATCTTTGGGGGCCAGGGTGGATGAAGGGGGGTTAGACTACTAGGCGGTCAGGAGAGAGATATCCTGATGTCCCTTGCTGTTCTGCTTCTCTGGCGTTCCCCTGGGACTGAAGCCACTGTGTCTTCTAGGCAATACGGCCCAGAAGTGACCAGGAGCCTCAGGCTTTCACTTCCGCTAGCCTCCGAAATTGCCACTCAAGGAGTTCTGGCACAATTTTACACCGCACAAAGGAAAACCATGGGCACCTCCCACCTCAAACTTTCCCATGCAATGAATGTGCAACAGCGTCTACACTGCATCCTCCATTTGCATAACAGACCTGTTGTGGGAGGTGATTTTCCAGAGCCACACAGGACAGACCACTTTGATGCAAACTGCTATGACAGAGCTGCCAGAGGAAGAAAGATGACATCCAAGATGCCTAAAAGGTTGCCCTGCATTGGGACCATCTCCAGACTACCTGTCATGGTCCTGGGCATGGAAGAAACAGGCAGACTGCTGGGATGATCTGCAACAGTGACAGGACTTCAGGATGAAAAAGGCCACTTTTTTCAAAGTCTCTACAAGGGTAACCTTGGAGCTACAGAGGTGGACCACCAACATGCAGTCCCTTTCGACATGGAGTGATGGAAGGCATGGGTGATAGAAACTGGCAAACCCCAACAGCCACCAGTCTATAGCCAACCAATTTAGCACTAGCAAATCTTCTGCTGGGTATGCCAATCAAGACGTGTGCACAGCCATCAAGAAGGTGCCTTGCCTTGTCTTTCCTCCTCTTTCCCACTCCAAAGGTGGTCACTGACTGATTTACCTGTATGAGGCTCACCAATTGCGTTGGTGAGACTGACATCATGGACACCCTAAGGCTTTTTGCTCTCCCCACTGAACCTTGGGTTATATAAAGAGAAAGGGCCATTTCTCCACTGCAGAATATTCTGGATCATCACCCCGATTATTGAAAAATCAGTGACAAAAAGAAAAATGAAATGCTGCAACTCTGACACTCAGATTTTCAAAAATTTAGGAAACTGAACATTCATTTCGATTTGTTTCAAAACAAAATCAGAAAAAAAAATTGAATGCAACAGAAAAAGTCCTTTTCATTCAAAAACTTTTTCATATTCCTTCTAGCTTCTAAGACTAACTCTACTAATTACTTTAACAATACAGGAGATAATGTACATACTGCTTACCATAGAGGTAAAGGTGGAAAGCCCTGTTGCAGCAAATTATTACTATCTGTAAGTTTGACTTTGCAAACATGCACTGGAGCAATTTTACTCACATGACCACTAAAGTTATTTTCATGAACACGTTCTTTTAGGGGCATTTCCTAAACTAAAGAAACAAATTATTCTCTGAAGTAAAGGCCAAATCCTATTCTACTGATTAGGAGTATAAATCAACTTAGATATCCACATATAATCCTTTCCAATCCTGATTGGGTCCCTGAAAAATAGGTGTGGGTTTTCCTCCTGGCTGCTTCTTTATGACGTAGTGTTAAGGGTAAGATAGCAATGTATTGCAAAAATAGACACATTAATGGTCTTTGGGGACTTGAACAGGCTGGAATAAAGTCATGCTTCGGTGCCTAATAGGTGGACAAGAATCTGACCATAAGGTTTAATTTACTTAAGCTTCTGCAAAAAAGGCCAAGATTGAAGTTACATCAGTCTTGCCCCCATCCCAATGGCACCCTAACTCAATGCACTCCATCTTTCCTTGTGGAAAAGGAGCTGGAAAGACAGCAAAAGTGAACAAG